CACGCTGCAGCTCCAGCCCCAAAAAGTGCAAAGAGCAGCGAGTGGAGGAGAGAATGTGGGAGGATGGGACTGCAGAGCCTGGAGCTGGGATTGGACAATGAAGGCCAAGGTGGGAATGGACCCAAAGTGATCCAAGTGTGAAACTCGGGACTCTGAGCCCACCTTGGGCTCTGCACTGCCCAAGGTGAATCCTTGGAAGGCTTTTCATCAATCCCTGCTTTATTCCTTTCACTCTGCCCAGCCTCTGCTCCAGCTCAGCCTCTCAAGGCATCAATCCAGCGTGGATATGGATTTTGGGAAGAGGAAACACAAAATGCTGGCAGTGGGGCTGGATAAGCCAAGTGTGTCTGTGGTGCTGTGTGGGATTCTCACACACACCAACAGCACGGGTTGGAGGGAGCTTAGCACAGCTCACTCACTTTCGAATTTTTAATATTCAAAACGCCTTAGGAAGGTGAAATCTGTTTCAACATTAGCCAGCCTCAAAAGTAACCCCGCACTTAATCCTCCAGTTCAGACCCTCTACACCTCCAGCTGAACAAATTCCCTCTTTTGAAGAGAGAAAATTGTCCAGGTCTCCACCATTCTCGAGACCAAAGGACACAAAGGGCGCAGGAATTTGACATTCACACAGCTGGGTAAAGAGGGGGAAGTGATGGAGAGCCCTTGGAGCTGCCCTTTGCCTTGGGCAAAGCTGATGCATTCCCTGGCTGGGCACACCCCGTTCCTGTTCCTATGAGCACATTTGGAGGATGGAGGAAAAAAAAATCAAACTGGCAAAAACCCCAAGGCTTCAAACCCCTTTAAACTTGGCTGAGTTCAAGACACCCAGGTAGGAGCTGGTTTGTCACGCTCAAAAGTGCATTTTTTTTGAAGTAAGGCCAAATAATAACAGAAAGTCTTTCAGTTGTCCTTTGGAAGACAAAAGCCTGGCTCTTTCTCTCTTCTCCAGAGCTGCAGAGGTTGAAATCCCAGAATCACAATAAAAACCTTCAGCGTGATGTAGTGAAATAAAGACCCCAGTTTAAGAGCAGGACAAACACACCTCTTCAAAAGCTGCCTTTGGGAACCTGTTTATAAACCAAACCAAGGTGGAAGTTTGGGCTTTTTAGGTTTTTTCTCTGTGACAGCCAAATATGAGAAAGTCTTAAAATGTCACAGTAAAAGAGGATGAAGGATTTAAATTGTTTATCTGAGAAGCCTGAAGAGCAGATACAGTGCTGCTCAATTAACAGCCAGCAGGGGAGAGGGAACAATGAATGGAAGCATTTAATGATGGCAACACCCAAGAAAAGCAAGCAAAAGGAGGAAAAATATGAAGCAAATAGCAGTGATGTGACACCCTCATCCTTTCTGGGAGCCTCAGCACTCAGGAAAGCCAAGAGGCTGCATTAATCTTCCCACGGAGCCCCCACCTCCTCCTCTCTCCACTCAGAGCAGTGATGGAGACACTGATTTGCAAAAATGTGCCCCTTAAATCCCAGCCTGGCTGCTGGCAGCTCCAGCAGCCACCCAAACCACAGTGCTGGGGAATTTCAGCTTTTTTTTTTTTTTTTTTTTTTTTCCTCCCCAGGAGAACCAGGCTCATTCCATCCCTCCTCACGTCCCTGGAGCATCAATATTAAACACAGCTTGCAGTTAATGGAGGTGGATTCAGACTCCAACACTCAAGTCTGTAGCTCTCAATTTCCAAACTGCAAACAGATCATTTGGGCCTGGAGAAACACGAGGATGAGGGAATGGGAGGGAGGGGAATGGAAAGGAGGGAGTCTAAATAAGCACAGTCTGAGTCCTACTGCCAGCTCAGGACTCAGGTGGGAGTTCAGATATGACAAGGACCAGGCAGGTGAGTAACACACCAGCCCAGGTGGTGCCTTTTTGGTCTTTTTTCTTCCCTCCATCGTTATTCCTTCCCCTCCAGCTCCCAGCAGGAGCTTTCCAGCACTAATGAGTGCAAAAGGGAACAGAGCCCAACCTGTGGGGCTTAACCTCAGCAGCTCCCGTTGGTGCCACAGACACAGCCCTGACTTCGGGCTGTTTTCTCCTGTTTTTATGAGCCATGGGCCAGCTCCCGGCCCTGAACACCACAGTGCCCTCCTGCCTTCCATCAGGGGCTGCTCACAGGCATTTCCTGGTGCTTGGCAAGGAGCCTGTGCTCCCTGCTGCAGTCACACACACGACACTCCAGCCTGGAGCAGCAGAGCTGGCACAGCCCTGGTGGGGAGGGCAGCTGCTCCCCCCTGGCACTGGGAGCTCCTGGTCACCTCCTGCCTCACTCAAAAGCTCCTGTCAGGAGTAATAACGTGGTGGCCTCAGCCAGGAGGTTCTCATTATTCTGCTCACACAGGCAAAGTTAAAAGTTGTGCTTGTTTATTGGCACAGTTCTGTGAAACGCTCACTGGTTTATCCAACCTTGGCCCTGGTAATGTGTGACACTTAGGATGTCAATTTTTAAGACATTTCACCTTCCAGGACTGATAAAACACTGTATTGACAAATCTACAGCAAACAGGAGGAGTTTCAATAGAAAGGAGTTCTGGCACCCAAACCAGGAAGAGAAACCAGTTTGGGGGTAGCAGCAAGTGGTTTGACTGAGGACATTACCCGTGGTTAATGCTGAAATGGTGCCAACCATCCCCTGACATCCCCACAGAATCACACCCCCAATTATTATATGGGGTTTTCTTCTTTCAAAGGAAAAACAAACCAGCCAGGTGTTCACTGCCAGGCAGGGCACAGCAGTGACCTCTCCAACCCCAGTGTGTCCAGAGGGGAAAATCCCCTTCAGTGGATTCACCAACTCCTACCCCACTGCAATGGCAGGATGCACTGGCTGCACAAATTCCCACAGTCCTCTGCATTTTGAGCTTAAATTAACGGCTCTGCTTTGCAAACTCCACCTAATTACAGGTTTTCCTTGAATTCTGAATGGGGCCAGGACACAGGTGAGGCCCTGGAGGAGCCCCAGGCACAGAGGCCTCTCCTGAGCAGCTCCGTGGCTGTGCTGTCACCTGAGACAGCAGAGCTGGCTCAGCATCACCTCCCAAACCCAGCCCTGCTGAGTGCAGGGATCTCAGCTCAGGAGCTGCTCCTGTGAAGAGGAAGGAATGCACAGTGCCAGAGGTGACAGAACAAGGGACTGAAGTTGCTGATGCTGCTCAGCTCCCAGGGGCAATGGAAATTTCTGGAAGCCAGGCCAGGTTCCCATCACCACTGGCACTGCCAGCACAGCTCCTTCAGCAGGGAGATGGATTTTTTCCCTTGAAGAAAATATGAGGACAAACCTATTTTCTCATCAAAGCCATAAAATTCAAGTCTTCCTCTTTGATTCTCCTGCAGCCCAAGACCTCAGTCTTTGCTGCAGAAAAACTCCACAAGACTCAGGCCACGGTGTGTGTGTGATTCCAAGCCAAAACCACAACCCCCAGCACAGAGGACACAAAACCTATGAAAAATGTATGACAAATGTCTCTGCTGGCACCCAGAGCTCTGCTCTTCACAAGGTACAGCATCATCCTCTTCCCATTCAGCAGAACAAATCCTGAAGTCACTCCCCTTTTATCCCTAAGATACCTTACTGAATGTGTTCCAAATTTATCCACAGAAGAAACTACTCCAACATTCAGTATTTTATACTGCAACTGCCTTTTACACCTCCTTGCAGAAGAAGGATGCTCCTACCCAGAATCTATAATGAGATGTAAAAGCTTTATTTGGCTGGAGATTGGGTTTTTTTAAACAGCTTCTGGGTGACAAAGAATCCCAAATGCAAATGGCACACACAAGGCACTGCATGTGGTGAGTAAAATAAATAAAATAGAGGCAATAGAGCTGCAGTGTTTGAGGTTTCAGTGTTGGGTAAAATAAATAAAATAGAGGCAATAGAGCTGCGGTGTTTGGGGTTTCAATGTTGGGTAAAATAAATAAAATAGAGGCAATAGAGCTGCAGTGTTTGGGGTTTCAGTGTTCCCTCTGAGCTGCCCTGGTCCAGTGGAAGGGATGGGACTGGAGGGTCTGTCAGGTCCCCCCCAGCCCAATTCCATGATTCCCCATGTGCAGGATGGACAAGGCCCAGCACTGAAGGTTTCTGCCCTGTGGGACCTCAGAGAGCAGGGCTGGGTGGGATTTCCTGGAGGAACCAGTCCCAGCCCAGTTACCCCAGTGCAGAATCCATCACCTCCCCATCCTGGGCTGTCCAGCCCATGGAAAAGCCTCCCCGTGGTGGATCCCAAACTCTGATTTGCAGCTTTCCCTTATCCTCAGCAATGATTTTTTTTTCCCAATCCAAATGCCAAGGAGCAGCCCAGGGTGG